CGGGTAAGTGAGTGATGTCGGACGTTAACCAGAAGCCGCTGCTACGACTCTCCTTCTGGTCCTTGGAGCCGCTAATGCCTTTAATCATGGCCAAAGCACACATATGCTGGATGGACGGAACGACTTCAACACACACAAATTGAAAATAACCAGGCCCAGAACGCATGCCAATTAATACAATACTTGTATTAGGAATTAATGTTAGCAATACAGCCAAATTTCTCCTTTAGCTAGTGCAACATAAGGAGAAATGGCCTTCACAGCACATCCTTCAACATATTTGATGTGGTGGTGGCGCGCACTGACGAAGGTTTGTGTTTCATATTTATTTTGCTCCAGCATGACTGACGGACTGACATGTCAAACACTCATTCTGCTGTCATATTTTCATAAACAATTGCGTTGGTTTATAAAGAGGCCGCCTCGGGTCTCGCGTGTATCGGAATGCAGTGTCAGAAACACATTCCTTGATTTATGTCAGTGGGGTTTTGAAACTCGGAGCTTAAACAGACGAAGGCTGGCGCATTCATTTGGACACATGCGCAATGGAGGGCCAAGTTTGCATCATATTTTTCAGCATAATTATCAGTTCTGGGCAATTTCATGCTCACCCATAATACCCTTTATTAACATTATTGTAATATTTCACTGTTCTGTGACGTCTGTTTGTGAAGTTGAGAAACCAAAGAACATTTTAAAGATGCCTGGGCAAGCAGAAAAAAAGCCTTCCTGTGGAAAAATGTGCTGAAGCCTTTTCATGGAAACGAGCTTTTTTAAAAACAGGCTACACTACCGGTCAAAAGTTTGGGGGGTTTAAATGTTTTAAAATAAGCTTTTCCTGCTCACCAAGGCTGCATTTATTTAATCATAAATACAGTGCAAATTGTAAAATGGTATTACATTATAAAATAACTGTTCAAACGTAGTTAATAATTTATTCCAGTGTTTAGAAAATAATTTTCAGCTTTATTCCTCCAGTCTTCAGTCTCATAATCCCCCAGAAATCACTCTAATATTAATTATTATTAGTTGTTAATGGTAATAGTAATAAAAGCAATAATTACTGCAATAAAACTTCGTTTGAAACTACATACAATAAGCAGTTATTTAAATTTTTTATACATTTTTAGCAATTTTATCAATATTTTACAATAAAATTACTCTGATGAACAGAGTAATTTTCATTAAAAAAAACCTGACCCCCAACTTTTAGTGTACCTCTTTTTAACTAAATTACACGGTGGTTTAAATAAATTAAATGTGCTCATTTGCATTCAAATGTTTGCATAACTTTGTCAAATATTTTAAAAGATTTTATAAAAATGCTAATTTCTCCTGAAAAAGTGCAATTACTTTATTGCACAAAAGTTTGGGTAATGTTTTTTTATTATTATTGTGAAAACATTTAAGGTGAATGTGCCTTTAAAATATTTTATAACCCAAATATTTAACATAGAATCAGAATCAGTTTTATTGCCAAGTGTGCTTCACACACACAAAGAATTTGTTTGGGCTACAGCTTCCGGTGTACGTAAAGTGACAACACAAAATAAATATGAAAAAAGACGATAAACATTAAACAGAGATGCAGTTAGTCAAAAAAAATCTGAATGTTAAACTATATGTACAGATTTGGCATAAATATACATTGCATTGTATATTGATATAAGGCGAATTGTTAAAAGGTGTTTAGGTGTAATAAGGTTTAGGTGTGATAAAGTGTAATATTTAGTATAGCATAACATAGTTAAAATGCATTAAAACCACCGCTTTTCACACACATATTTAGGCAAATAGTTTTTTTTAGAACTGAAGCTTTAACTGAAAATATATATTTTTATTTAGATGTCAAAGAGTTTTAAAAGATTATTTAAAAGATCATTCAAAGATTTTTGACTGTTAAAATGCCTTCAAATTACTCGTTTTTACCTTAATATATGGAGTACAAAATGATCAAAGTAAATATAAAGGATCCATTTGTTAACATTAGCAAAATGCAAATTTCTCCTAAAAAAGTTTAACGACTTTATTGCACAAAAGCTTTGCATACATTTTTTAAACATTTTGAAAATATTTTTTATGTAAATAGGGTTTATATGCCTTAAAAATATTTTATAACCTACATTTTTGCTTCAATTGTAAACAGTATTTTTAATCAAAGAAATGTGTTTTAGTTCTATTTGTTGGCTTTGGTCAAAATGCATTCAACCTAATGTGTTTCTGTTATAAAACCAAGTCTCATGTCTATTTATAAACATTATGTCTGCTCCCCCTCACCTCTGTAAATAGTTTTTATAGAAATGGAAGATCATGTAAAGTGATATGTTGCTCTGCTATTATCATGAGTAATTGTGTAACTGTTTTTAGTTTATGGTATCTCTAAAAAAAAAAAAGTTAAAAAAAAAAAAAAAACTTGCAAAAAGTTATATACGGAGGGACGGACAGATAGATAACAACAGTTTTTAAAATGCATTATTTTATATTTAGCCAAATTATTTTAATAAAACTAAAACTTTCACCTAAAAATATTTTTAGATGTCAAAGTGATTCAAATTACTTCTTTTACAAATTATTTTTTTGCTATTTCTGCGCGGAAATTTGTAAAATATCTGCAGATTTATGCTGAATTATTTTGGGAGCATCATAAGTAAAGACCTAATTTACAGGAAAAAAAATAATAGCTTTTTAACTTTTATTTAATGTTTGCAATACAAATCCATCTAGATCCACTTAATTTATAAACAATGCAAGTCCCTCGTAAAATAAATCTAAAAGACAGAAAATTTTACTTTACAAATTATTGTAAATAAATCAAACATTTTCATATTAGTCATTAATATTACTAAAATTAATTTAAAAACAACAAATGTAGATTTACTTACATTTACACAAGTAAATAAAAAGACTCAATGATGGGCTTAAATCTGCGAATTTCTACGCGCAGATTCCGTGTGGGCCTATTTTTGAGTTACTTTTTATTATTTATTATTATTATTTTATTATTATTACTTTTTACTGGTTGAGGCTTAATCTCTTTCAGAACTTGTGTAAACTTTTTTTTTTATAGATAAGCTGTATAAGCTACACCTATATTTACCTAAAAAAAAAAAATTATAATGTGTGTGTGTGTGTGTGTATATATATATATATATATATATATATATATATATATATACACACACACACACACACACATATATATATATATACACACACATATACAGTACATATACATACATACATACATAGTTGAAGTCAGTATCATTAGCCCCCGTTTTAACGGAGAGATTTTTTTAACACATTTCTAAACATAATAGTTTAATCTCAACTGATTTATTTTATCTTTGCCATGATGACAGTAAATAATATTTCACTAGATATTTTTCAAGACACTATTATTCAGCTTAAAGTAACATTTCAAGGCTTAATTAGGTTAACTATGCAGGTTAGGGTAATTAGGCAAGTTATTGTATAGCGATGGTTTGTTCTGTAGACTATCAAAAAAATATATACCTTAAAGGGACTAATAATATTGACCTTTAAATGTTTGTTTGTTTTTTTAATTAAAAACTGCTTTTATTCTAGCTGAAAAGAAACAAATAAGACGTTCTCCTGAATAAAAATATATTATCAGACATACTGTAAAAATTTCCTTCCTCTGTTAAACATCATTTGGGAAATATTTGAAAAAAATTAAAATAAATCAAAGGGGGGCTAATGATCCAGACTTTAACTGTACATGTATATAAGGATGTTATCTGAGAACTTCCTGACCCCAGAGATCTACATGCTGTATATACAGATTATTAAAGCAATGTGTTTGATACTTTTGTACTATTTGTCTTAAGCATAACCACTGTCTATTGAGACAAATCCCCTTTTCTTCAATTCATTCAAAATAATTAACACATTCTCTCATTGACTGCGTGATCCATTGTGACTAGTTTAATTTACTGTTTAAAATCAAATTAAAATAAAAGGTAACTATATTATTGCTTTTTTTTTTTTTTTTAAGTAAAGCGTTACTTTACTCGTTACTTAAAATACATTACATAACTCATGTTACTTGTAATGCGTTACCTCCAACACTGTGTATGAATATATAATAGAACTAAGCTATCATAAAGTAACAATAAACTGCTTCGTTATTATCTAATGTTACTAAAGATGAATAAACAAATGTATCGACACTTTAATTCAGTGTTCACTAAACTTGTTCCTGGAGGGCCGGTGTCCTGGAGATTTTAGCTCCAACCTTAAACACAACTGAACAAGCTAATCAAGGTCTTACTAGCAGGGCCAGACGGAATCTGCGGACGTTTTTTTGCTATTTCCGCGGAGAATTTTGGTAAAAATCTGCGGATTTCTCTGGAATTATTTTGGGAGCATCCAGCGGAGTATCATAACTAAAACCTTAATATATGAAATAAAAAGTAAGAAATTACAGAATAAAAACGGAATAAATTCAGATTTACTCAAGTAAATAAACAGAATTAATGATGGGCTAAAAATCTGCGGAATTCTGAGCATGCAGATTCCGTGTGGGCCTAGTTACTAGGTATAGTTGAAACACCCAGGCAGGTGTGTTATGGCAAGTTGTGAGTTAAATCCTGCAGGGACAATGGCCCTCCAGGACCAAGATTGGTGACCCCAGCTTTAATTTAATAGAAATATTGTATCACTATAAACGTGTTAATTAATTTGCCTATGTAAAAGAAGCATTCTCCTCTTTATGGCAGAAAAACCATTAAAAAAAAGGAGCGGACTAATTCGACTTTTAATCATTAATAAAACATATACTACATGTATAAAATAGTACTTTGTTTAAAAAAAAAAAATAGTTACTTTATCAGACATTAAATCGAGCTTTTAAAGTACAGTAAACGCAGGAGGCTGAAATGTGGTCATCTGTTCGCAATCATAAAGCAGCACATTTCAAGCAAACTTGGACTTTCTAGACAAAGAAACACTTCATCCCACAAACATACAGTACAGCGCACGAGTGTTTGCCCAGCTGGTATGCATTTTATTTCAATTGTTTAGTTTTTTTTCTGAAGGTAATACAGCGACAACAGATTTCACCAACAGTTCATTCATAAAATCCCTCAGGCTTTCGGTTTCCCTGCGACGCTCCACATCCAGACCCAACAAACCCACGAGCGCGCGTACAGCCCGTCTGGAGCTCTGCAGAGCTGGATGTGTGAGGGGGTTTGTTGGGTTTGGAGCGGGTTTATGCTCAGCTGTTAGTTGGCTTTGGCGCGCAGCTGTGCCCTCTTGCCCGTCACGGCCTGGAAGCCGGTCTTGATGCTGGCGACGGAGCAGCGCGAGTGACACGTCTCACACTGCAGGAAGTACAGGCGCGTGTCCTTCTGCAGGATGGTGTCTGGAGAACGACACGTGTGGCAGGTCACGTATTCCTCTGCAACACAAAAACACATCGCGTTCAGTTGCTTTCTCCTTATAGAATGCAAATTATGTTCATAAAATATGTGTGTCGAAAGTTTCAGCTCAAAATATACAAATAAATATTTTACAACTCTGAATCTTCCCCTTTTAGGCTTTAATCCTATGGGTGCCGTTTTGGTGACTGTCCCTTTAAATTCAAATAAGATTGTGCTCTTTTCAAAAGAGGGCGGAGCAATAAGTGCCTGTCTGTCAGCATTGTGGCAGATGCAATAACAAGAGTAACATCCTATGCTAATGAGGGAGAGATCATCACTAGTGGGTGGGGCTTTCCTACTATGATGACATGCACAATGAGAGAATGTCAATCAAAGTGTTCTGCTGACTAATTATCACGTGATTATAAAAAATAATTATACATTTTTACTATTAGAAGCTGGTTATATGCACGGACTGTTGCCACACAACTGTGTCTAAACCCCTTATAAAAGTGATTTTAGCGTAATTAGGGTTTCTACAAGTCGAATTTAAGACGTTAAGACCTTTTTAAGACCATTATTAGTGAAATTTCAGACTTTCTAATGGCCAAGTTAAAACAATGAAGTCATTAAAATCAAATGGTATTCTAAAGGAAGATAATTAAACCATGTTTATAAATAAAAATATAAATTGTGTTGGTAAATATAGTTCATAAATAAAAGTTAATAAATCTGGATGTAACGATTCAGTGAGCCTGTTGAAAATCAATTCAAATATGATCACGCAGTGCATCAGTGTTTTCATAGTGAAAGTGTGCAGATGTTTTTCAGACTGAAAGAGAAAGTTGTTATTATATTAGTTTTCACCCTCTCCTTTTCAAATTAGTTTATGCATGTTTTATTTATTATCTTATTATTATTAAATATTTAAAAATGTTCAAGATTATCTCTTCTTAAGTGTATCACACTGATACTTATACTAATTGATTATACAGGTAATAATGATTCACCTTTTCTCACACTGACAGCAGCCATGAGCCGCATTTGAAAGTGAAACGCAGATTTAAATGATCATAACGCATTTTACAGTTATGATTATGACAAGCCTTTTTTTTCTTTAATAGCGAACACAGTGTTGTTGCATGAGAATAAGTTTACTGGGTCAGTATAACTACTCTAGCCTATATAATGTTGAATATAATGCAAGAGGAAATCTGATAATGACAAATGTCTCATTTTACCAGAGTATAAATGGTCTAATAATGTTGTCAATGACAGATTCCAAACAAATGTCTCAAACATAATAATTCAACATCAGAATTATGAGTAGTTGTATTCTGATGTCATCACATCACTGTGAATTAACAAACAGGACATATTTAAAGTCGGTTTAAGTCCACCATTCAAAGTCTATACAAAATTTAGTTTAACCAACAGTAGACTTACAGTTTTTAATGTATTTGGTTAAAAAAAAACTATATAGCTATGGCAGAAAATATAATATTTTACCAAAATGTGCAGCATTAAAGAAAAAATTACAGGGCTTTTGTTCACCTTGAATTTGTTTCAAATAATTTTGTTTGAAAAAAATATATTAAAAAAAAAAAAAAAAAAAAAAAAACGGGACTGAATCATGAATGCTTGGATTAGTATTGTGAATCATATCGAATCGTGAGTCAGGTAAATCCATACATCTTTATTAATAAATAAACTTTTGTTTAAACTTTAATTCAGATGGATTGTTGGGGATTGGATGGGTGTTAGCCCAATAGGGTAGCTTTACATGGAAAAATTAAGACCTCTTTAAAATGATAAAGACCTACAACAACATTTCAGTGAATTTAAGACCAGGCAGATACCCTGAAAATAGGTGCCCTTTAAAGGAATTTTTTTTCCCCAACAGTTTTTAAAAATGCCATGAAGACAGTACATAATATTTTACTAGCTACTTTGGAAGATACTACTATCCAGTTTGAAGGCTAAAGATGTGTGTGAGATTTAGATGTCCATAAATGCACTGTATAAATGTAGACCATTTTTATAGTCTGACAGTCAAATAAACACTCACTTATGTATCTTCTTAAGACGTTCTCTATCTGTTTCTGCTGGAATCTGCCTTTGATGACGAGCTGATTGTTTCCATCTATGGACCCGCTGAGAAAGGAAAACTGTGGTTAGAGCATTTCTGAATGTAAAATGACCTTCAGTATGTTGATTTTAGGGATGACCACCATTATATTTTTATTTATACACTTGGTCCGAATCACAACGCTCCTGTTTTTAGATATAGAACAAAACAATTCAGGCACAGGACACACCAAGCTGATGTCAAATAACTAGCTCTGATGAAAACCGACTAATGTTGTCGTTTTGCATCTGCTGCATCTGATCACATATGGACCAAATGGTATGCATGAACACACCAATTAGACGACAGTTGACTGAAACGAGAACATGTAGGCTCAATCCCAAATCCATTTTTGTATCCCTTCCCCTTGGCCCTTAACCCTCTCAAGGCAGGCGTTGCTAATTTGCAACAGTTAAAAGCATAGATTTTGCCTGTTTCTAAAATTCAATTTGAGCCTGAAAGGGTTAAAACCAAGGGTGAAGGGGAGGGGCTTTAAAATTTACCCCTAAGAATTGGGACAGCACCTGCACACATCGTCACATGTCATCGCAATCTCTTGCTTCATATGAGATCAGACGATCGCGACTCCTGTAGTTATTCCAGTTGTGCTATTTTTTTATATTTATCTTCAGTAAATCACTGAAGGCATATATTATGTTATCATAATGATCTAATGTGGCAATTAGATCGTAACTGTACTGTGCATTTACACCATTCATCTATATATTAATCTATGTAAACACATAGACGATACACCAAAAACAACATTAACATTATAGCAGCCACTGTGCAAAGCCGATTCTCAGCCACTAGACATTTCTGACAGGGTATTTCAGTGTCATACAGCGTCAAAATGTTGTGGGACTGCTATACAGGAGTTTTCTTTAGGGATTATAGAGCGTTTTTTAAAAGCATGACGGTACAACACGGACGCTGTTTTAGAAAAAATAAAACGTGTTTGTTCGTTGTTAAAATTCGTAATAATGACAGAAAAGTACTTATTTGTGGATCTTCTTACTTCCAAGTGCTGCGATCCTACTGTTGTGGCTGGTGCGTTCTGGGAAATTTTCTTACCCACTTGGTTTCGAGTGTGATCCTGAAAAATCTTAATTCGAAGGACTATTCACTCCTTCCCCTTAACCCTACACCTTCAAGCTAAAGAGAATTTGGACACCCCCACCCCTTCACGGGAACGTACAAACGAGGGGTAGGGGTAAGGGGAAGGGCTAAGGGGTAGAATTGGGATTAGGCCTTATTCTGCATCTGCGTGAAAGGATTATCTTTTCATACCCACAGGTGTCAGTAGTTGTCACTGCATAAAGGGAAACCAGAACTAGTGCTGCACACATACAAACAATAAACAAAGCAGTATTTATGTACCATCTTTACAGTACTTTCCAATCAAAACTATGGAATACATTTATGCAGATATGTCTGATAATTAGGGCTGGGCCATAAACCGATTTTATTGATTCACTTGAGTGTGCAGTTTACATAAATGTTCTGAATAAAAATCAGTTTTCATTCCAACACGTGCAACGCACCCATAGTTTCCCTCGTATATGCTATTGAAACACAGAAACATGACAGCAAATAGGGAAAAACTCTGAAAAATGAAAAAAAAAACATGGATGCAAACACACCAGCCAAAAAAACGGCATAATTCAGGGCTTTCAGTGACACATTCACTGCAGACGCGTATTTGAAACTGTGCACCACACATTGTTTTCTCACGGTGGGAAGAAACGGAAAAGACATTTAATAGACAAGACGCGCAAGCTCTGTGATTGGTCAGATGGCTAGCGGTGACAAGTGTGGGCAGTGCTGAGAGCCGCGAGCCCGATGGAGCAAGTGATTACAAGTGTCGAGTCGTATGAAGAAGCTCCAGATGGAAACTTTTGTTTTTTTACCTTATGAATAAAGTTTTTGCACGTTCGCTGGTTCCCGTCTCTGAATGAGTGATTTTAGCTACTTGTAGCGTTCAGAAAAAACAAAACACCTACGAAACAAACTCAACACAGGAACATAAAAACCTACTGCCAGCTATAATTTTAAAAGTGTTATTCCTGAGCAACACAAAAACAACAAGCAGAAGTATAAATGCACAGATACACAAGGCATGTGCTCTGGGTCACATCAATCACTCGATGCAGAAGCCTCATTCTCATAAAGCCTCATTCACACTACGAGCGACTCACAGTGGCAAAACGACAACCGACCGTTCACTTCAACAGAGACTGAGCGAATTCCAGCAACCACCATCACTGCAAGTGACAGCATCCGTTGGCGACCAGGTAGGCGCGTCGAGCGAAGCAACAAAGTTGAGAATGATTTAACTTTAGGCAAATGAAGAGCAACTTTCTTCAGCGACAAGCTGGTTGTATTTTTTCTGCGGTAGACCTACACAGACCTGCATTTGCAGCAGATCGCCAACCAGGCTTATTTCTGTTTCCTCTTGACTTGTGTCATTTGTTAGTTTGGTAACTTCAGCTTTCGTGTTCGCGCTCTGATTTGTAGCTGAACAGCTAATCAGATAGTTCTCCATCACTGACGCTGACTCTACATGTTAAATCAGGCAATCTCTCTAAAATGAGGAACACACCAAACAAACTAGCCTGACAGACAACCACCGATGGCCTGATGCTGCCTAATGGCCAAACAGCAGGTTGGTGTCTTTGCCTTAACACTGAGCTGTCAAAACTAAAGTCATCAGTTAACAAAAAAACCAGTGGACTTTTTTAAAGTCTTTTCATGAGATATGTAAATCAGTCTGCTTTACTTTTAATAGCGCCTCACAGTCAGTTATGCCTCTCAATTAATTCATGTTTCTCTCTGACATCATGTGAAATGCCTTCAGCTAAAAAATGCAGTGTTCTGGTGGAGGTTTTCAGACACGCAGACACACTGGAAAAATAAACCAAGAGCTTGCCAGATTGTGAGACAATATTTTGCAAGGTTTGTTGTTCAATGATGAAAAACAACCCCTGCTTCAGCCGTGCTCCCATAAATAACAGTTCACTTACAGATTATATAATAATATATGGACAGAACAGCATAAGCAGCTCTTTCCTGGAACGAAGTACAAAGGTAAGCTGTCGCTCCCTAGAAAAACATTTTTGTGATAATGATTTAAACGTTTTTACTGGAATACACTGAACGTTGATTCAACAGATATGTTAAGGGCTGAAAACCTGGGGCTTGTCATGAAATGCTGATTTTCATGCTAAATAATAGTTTAATTCTCAAAAAAAAGCATCTCTCATCTTTAAAAACTAGTTATTCTGTAATTATGGGAAGAGCCAATATTAATAATATATAATAAACTTACCTTGTACCTAACTCAGCCAACAAAAAAGCCAAAAGATGTTTTGGCTGTCGATGCAACCTGTCAAAATAAAAGCAGAATTGGAGGATTATGAACTATAAAAATTATGAGAAATGGTTGATTTTCCATGTATTCACTAAACAAACTCAATCCAGAAAACGCAGCGTCTGCTTGACTCACAGTTTGCAGATGTCTGTGAAGTTTACGAAGGAGGTCTTCTTAGTGCCGACCCGCACCACCTGAGGAGGCTTCATCACAAACTTCCTCTTTTCTCCGGCGACCATGTCTGGATTCTTTTCCCTCATGATGTTAAAGACCCTGTTCAAAAGCTAAAATCATGTGATATTTTCAGTCACCTTTAATCTTAAGAGCTGATGCAACCAGTCATTATTTAACAAACTATAATTATTTATAAACTCATTATTTAGTCTCAAGAGTAATCAAATGTATTGGTGTCAGGAAAAATGCTTAACATGAAGAACAGGGATGTAATGATTCCCCATAATCCAGTTGAAACTCAATTAAAATATGTGAAGTTAGACAAATTGTACTACAGTGGGGGACCATTATGTTTGCTGCAAACTCTGTTTTAATTTCTGAGAAATTAAAATAATTTAAGGTGCTCCATTGGATTGATAGTGACATGACGCAATATCTTGCTGTAAGTAGCTATCATAAAATGTGTAGACTGTGGTCATAAGGGATGGAGATGGTCATCAACAATACTCGGGTAGGCTGTGGCGTTGACAATGCTCAATTGGTACTAAAGGGACCAAAGTGTGCCAAAAAAAATCCCCCAAACCATTATACCACCAACACCACCAGCCTGAACTGTTGATACAAGGCAGAATGGATCCATGCTTTTAAGCTGTTGTCGCAAAATTCTGACTCTATCATCCGAATGTTGCAGCAGAAATCGAGACTCATCAGACCAGGCAACGTTTTTCCAACCTTATATTGTCCAATTTTGGTGAGTCTGTGCAAATTGTAGCCTCAGTTTCCTGTTCTTAGCTGACAGAGTGGCACCTAGTGTGGTCTTCTGCTGCTGTAGCCCATCCACCTCAAGGTTGGACATGTTGTGTGTTCTGAGACGCTCTTGTGTAGACTTTGGCAAGTGGTTATTTGAGTTACTGTTGCCTTTCTATCAGCTAAAACCAGTCTGGCCATTCTCTTCTTACCTCTGGCATCAACAAGGCATTTGCGCCCATACAACTTCCACTTACTGAATATTTTCTCTTTTTCAGACCATTCTCTGTAAATCCTAGAGATGGCCGTGCGTAAAAACCCCAGAAGATCAGCACATTTAAAATAACTTTAATCACCTTTGTTTTTTCATTCTGATGCTCGGTTTGAACTGCAGCAAATTGTCTTGACCATGTCAACATGCCGAGTTGCTGCCATGTGATTGGCTGATTAGAAATTTGCGTTAACGAGCAGTTGGGCAGGTGTACCTAATGAAGTGGCAGGTGAGTGTATATTTTTATTGTACTAAGAAATGTGCAGTATTTCAGAACTAATAAAAGGCCACTTTTTCCTTTCATATCTCAATTCATTTTGTGAAAAAAATCATATCTTGAGATCTGTATTGTCAGTCTTATTTAATTATAAATTAGGTAAATGGTTACATCCACAGTAAAAAAAAAAAAATAGTTTCCGTTTTAATGTGACCCCACATTGTTTTTTTGGATATTACAATTCATGTAGCTTTAATAAAGCGGATTCTAAATGTAAAAGGTCTTTAAAATTTCTAAGATCAAACTGCAGGATTAAAGGTGTTACTGGCTCAAAGGAAAGAATCAGTTCTGAACTGCCTGAAAGAAGTCTTCATTACTTTCAAGTCTCATACTGGGTTCCCACTAACATAAACATTACAACATTTACTCTAGATTACCTAAGAGATGCTGTTCGCCTCATCCAAACACTTCCTCTCCAGTTAAATAATTTTCAAATATGTCACATAATTCACATCACCTGTCACAAATATTTTTATTGACTTAGTATGTGATCAATTTATCCAAATACTTGAAAAAATAGCTTTTGAACAAATTTGTATGGGGACACTTGCGTATAAAGTATGAAGTAGTTGTTTTTTGTTGAGCTGCTCTTTGCTGACAAAAAAGTTGGTACTCCAACTTTTGTGTCTTTATTTTGAGAATTGTCAGTCATACCCCTGATTTATTTTTTTTATATTTGGGAGAGGGATTTCACTTATTTTTCCTCTCAAAGTCAAATTTAAGACTTTTTAATAAATTTTTAAGACTATTATAAATAAAATTTTGGACTTATACGGAGTTAAACACTAAAGATTTTTTCTAATGGCCCAGTTGCTTCTGTTAATAGCTTTTGTATTAATGGAAGATTATGTAAAGGGATGTGTTGCTTTAGTTTTCTTTCCCGGATTAAGACAATTTGCTGTAAAAATGTGAGAAACAGCTGTTGTGAATTGTATTATTTGCAATAAATATAAAAATATATGTAAAAACATATAAAATAGATATTTTTAAAACATTATAAATAAAATATTAAAAAAACAATATAAACGTATATAAAAAAAATTTGAGATGGATTATTAGTGATGGATGTTGGACCGATTGGGTAGCTTTACATGGACCTAGGAAAATCAAGACCTGCTTAAAATGATTTAAGACCGATGACACAATATTTCAGTGAATTTAAGATTTTAAGGCCTAAATTGTTTTTTTAAATTAAAGACATTTTAAAACTTTAGGAGCCTATGGGCACCCTGTAGGAAGCTTTACCAAATTTGTATATGGCTTGTCTATAAGTTGTAGTTGTGGCCTGGAAGAGTTTGGGTTGTGCTGTTGACATGGGTCTATACACTGCCGTTTGAAAAAGAAAGGTTTTAAAACTCAAAACTTTAAAACTTTTTTTAAGGACAACAGTATCTCCAGCAGTAAAAGATATCCAAAGATGGTGTTTTAAATTGTGAGAAAAAAAATCTGCTTTTGACATAAATGAAGACAGCTGAAGTCAATATTTAACTTAAATTATAGCCTGACATGTTTACTGCTCCAAAATATTTTAAATGTTTCTTAAAATAAAATACATCGTGTTTGAAAGGGGAAAACGTTTTTTTTTTATCCAGACATTTAAAAAGAGCATATATTAGAGCAGTAATTACAATACCGTAAAACTGTGATATTTTTATCCAAGGTTATCATACCGTCAGCATCTTATACCGGCCCATGCCTAGACATGGCAAGCTTTTATTCTGTATTAAAATGTTTGTTTATTTTAACACTAAAACAACAGATGTGTCTAAGTTTAAATAAAAAATGACTATTGAACTAAACTAAAATTGTATTTTGCAACATTCTGGTTGTCCAAGGTTGCTGGAGCACATCTACAGTTTTCATGATAAACTACATGCATGTGATCTTAATGAGAACTGACTTCTACAACGAACTGACTACAACCAATAAAAATCCTCCGCATATCAGTAGTCATTTCCAGTATGTCTCATAAAAGACAAGTTAGCAGGTAAAATATACTCTGCCAATAAATGGACCAGATGGCAGAAGTCTCTGGGCCTTCATCACCTGAAACACACACACAGCAAGCCAGCCTTTTCTGCCATTTACCTCATCATAAGTGTAATCTCTTTCTGATCCTGCCCACGCAGGGCCCGTCTGTGTGCTGAACGTGATGTCATCAGCGTTTTTACTGTCATCATCTTCGACACCTTCCACATAAACAGCACACAATTAGACTGTAAACATTTCATTAGGGCTGCACAATATGTCATTTAAGCATCGATATCCCAATGTGCGCATTTGCAATAGTCACATTGCAAAGATATGCAATGTCTAGTCTGAATTATAGCTGACCAGGAGCCACAGAATTGTATTTAATCACTGCATGTATACGATTTATGCAAGAAAAAAAAAAACCTTTCTTACTTTTTAGTTAGTTTCTAGTCCAAATATCAATTTCAAAGCAAAAACAAGATTTCACTTGCCCCACTGGCAGATCATTTACTCTTAAACTTACATTTATGTCTTCTGACGGTGAAAACAAAACAATATTTTACTTTGTCTAAATAATTTGTTTGATATTTGGATCATAAACAAGACAAAAGGTAAGCTTTTTTTTTTTTGCATTATAATTATTCAATTTCTCTACCTGAATACAAATCGTCAAACAGCACTATTCAAACTGTCTTTTATCTCTTATTTATTGCAGAACAATAAAATATTGCAATATCAGATTTTTTCTAATATCGTGCAGCCCTACATTACATTGTATTTCACTTCATCTAAAATGTACAGAGACTTATAATGCAAAGAGAATTATATAATGGCATCAACATCACTACTAAATGAAAGGCATATGAGTATCTGTATAATGCACACCCCACAACTAGATTTATAAATAAACTTAGGTTAGATATTAAATAAATAGTCTTCGTCACGATGATTTCTGTTCATTTTATACTTATATTTTCTGTTTATAATACTCCTAAACCTAAAAAAAATACTTAAATGTTTGTTGCTTAAGGGCTACCGGTAACCTTTTTTGAAAAAATTTCACAAAGAAATTTTAATATGCTACTTACTAACCAGCGCAAATTAATATTAGAAGTCTTTTTTCTCAATACAGTGGTCCCTCGTTAATCACAGAAGTTGCATATTATAAATAATCCACCTTTTCTCAGAAAGGCATTAACATTTCCACACATTTCTCTCTTGTTTAAACACATTTTTAAAGTTCACATTTTCACAGAACAATAAGTCCAAAGATCAAAACCCTTTGATCCTCATTTACTTCAATTCATCTTTATTTCTATAGCGCTTTTACAATGTAGATTGTGTCAAAGCAGCTTCACATGGAAGGTCTAGAAAATTTAAACTTGTTAATTGTGTCAGTGCTGTTTTCAGACTTGAAGTTCAGTTTAGTGTGGTTTAATTTTTACTGCTGAAAGTCCAAACACTGAAGAACAAATCCATCCATGCACAGCTCCACAAGTCTCAAACCATGCAAGCAAGTGCGAGGAACAAACTTCCCCAATAGGCGAAAGTGAAGGAAAAAAAGACCTTGAGAGAAACCAGGCTCAGTTGGCTTTCTCCTATGGCCAAATGCCTTGTGCAGAGCTGCATTCTAGGCGCCGGAGGCTGGAGAACGGCATTATTCCGTAATGGCGCCCTACAGCAGAGAAACTTCTACCTTTCTTTAGCATGCCCAGAAGTTCAACTTTTGTGCAATGGTTAGCATCTTCCTCTGCCTTTTGAATGCTACCGCAGGTGCCTTTGATTGTGCAGAATGTTTCGATGCCATTGTGGGGAAAAAACTTGTGAACATACAGTCCAGCAATTTAGTCACACTGCTAGCGATTGAAGATTTATGCAAGTTTGGCAAGCTGAACACATTATGTACTGTACAGGAGACATAGCACGAAGGAGATTGATTGACAATGGTCTACAGCTAGTCAGGTTGCAGAACACAATGTGCTAATCAGAATGCAGAGCACAATGCGCTGTAGAAAAAAAATGCAAGTCAAATTGCACAAAAAAAAAACCAGCAAAACTGCAATGCCTTGAAAAGTGAATCGTGTTATGTCGAGGGACCACTGTAAAGCAATTTTTATAATGTTTGAAACATAGTAGTTTTAAAAAAAACTCCCAATTCAAGTCATGCACTTACCATCCTCTTTGCTTTGACTGTCTGTGTCCTCTTTGACTTTTTTAGGTTTCTTTTTCTTCATAGGCAGCGTGAAGTCATCATTCTCTTGTGTGTCTGATGGCTCTGTTTCGATCTTCAGCTCCTTTTGGAAATTTGCAGTTTATTTAGTGACAATTTCTCCTGGTTTGTGTTTGTGTGTGATAGCAGCTATGTTTACATCTAAAAATATGAATTAAATTTAAGCGCAAAACAGGAATATTGCATTAAAGACGTGCAAATGAAGCACTGTTTCCATACGAGTCAATGAGAACAAAATTGTGACTTCCTGACTAACTGGAGCCAAATATCAACAGTAAAAACAGATTTTATTTGAAGTAGAAAAAGCTGCGTGAATCTTTTGTTTATTTAATAAATGATTTGCACCTCAGAAGACAAATCCCAACATGCAGTGAACGTGGTGGTGTTTAAAGCTGTCAGATGCAGAGCACAGACGCTCTTGATTCTGGAGGTGATTAATAATAAAATACCACTAATACTGAGATGGTTTAGATGTTTAAGAATGACCAAAACAACCTTTCAGGTGTTTTAAAATAAGCTCAGCCTGCTGGTATGTCCATTCACACATATTATCATCATCATATGATCTCTTATAACAAAATCACATGACTTTCTTAATGTGCATACTGCTGAATGTTTTTTTTCATATCTTTATTTTACATTTACAGAATCGTGAGAAAATTATGATCTTTATTTTAAGCAAAAAAAAAAAAAAAAAATCGTGATTCTCATTTTAGCTAGAATCGTGCAGCTCTAGTTATGCCGATACGTTTTAAGCGCATTTTCAAAATTTTTGCACATCATGGCATTTCAATAAATCATTTTGTTATGCACATATCCAAAGTGTCCATTAAAAATAGGTGGATGGAGTCGGCGTAATAGCCTTGTGGTTAGCGCGTCGACATATGGTGCAGTAGCACGTCAGGGCATCCCGTGTTCGTATCCCGGCTTGAGGACATTTCCCTCTCCTACCCACCCCCCCTCTCTCTCTCTCTCTCTCTCTCTCTCCAACTTCGCTTCCTGTCTGAATACTGTCCTATGTAATAAAGGCAAAAAAGGCCAAAAATAAATCTTTAAAAAAAATAAAAATAAAAATAGGTGGATGGAAACGGCTATTGTTGAAAGTCCAAATAAAAACAGAATATGATGCGTCATCGCATATATCAATTAATTTCTCTAAAGAAACCAAGGCCACTGAAAGATAGCGCAATCAACATAGAAATATCTTTCAATAAAAGGCAATTATAGCCATGAAACTATTGGACTGAACATGTGCAAACACTGAACTGACCTTCATTCCCTCTTCAAGCTCAGCATCAGCATATTTCTTGTTCTTCTTTTTCTTTTTCTTCTGATTAAAGAAGTTTAAGTCATCAAGGTCATCTGATGCTTCTGGATTATTCAAACAAAACGAGCTGTCAGGTTTTTATTCAACACAGGAATTCACACAAGACAACATTCAGAGTACAATAAATATTTATTAACAAAACATTCTATATTATTACATTGGGAATGCAAAATTGAACACTTGAAAATGATTATATGCCCTATTACATGTCTATTATTATATTACTTAGGCAACTAAAAGCATTTCAGAATTAGTTTTGTAACCAAACTTCAGAGATTCTTTTCAATGCATGTTTAGGCCTGTCACAATATCTATATTCTGTCATTCAATAGTGCACTAAAACATATTACAATAAATTATATTATTGTTATTTTATGCCACTCATTCCATAATGCCAGAATGACAATATAATATCATCAAAATGCAAGTACACTCATCCAAACACAAAATATTTTATTCTTATGAATATCTCATTTAGTTACAGTCATTTTAACATTTTAATAACCAGGCACTGGAATCGAAATGTGACAATGCATATTTTACATAAATAATAATAAAGGTTAACAAAAAAGTGCAAGGTAAAAAGTAACAGAAGCTGCAAAGTCTGCTACCAGATCTATTTTCAGGTGTCAGACACCCACTAAAGTAATTTATAGTAAATACTATAGTGTTTTTAACTATACTGATACTGACAGCTCCAACAGAGATAGAAATGTTGCAAAATTAACTAAAATTTTGCTAGAATTGTTTATGTATGGGCGATATATATTGCATCACTAAAAATAATGTTTATGGTCATGTGATGTGCAGTCGGTATATTGTCGATAAATTCTTAGAGATGGGGTCATTTAGATTTTACCGAGATCCATATCGCTTATCATACCAGTTCTGATCTCTACCATGTTCTATAATTTGTTCTAAAAAGACAAAAAAAGATGTGATAACATAAAATAAAAATATTTTATTTTATTGTTGAATTTCACAGCAGTTTACAAATAACTGCAAGCAAACAGAAGTAGATGCATAAAGCACAGTGACAACTAAATGCATCACTTGAGTTTGATGGCATGTTTTGTTAGTTTTATTATATTACTAAAGTTGCCATCTTTTTCACTGTTACTGCATGTTCATTTTCATGACTCATACATAACCTAAACAAATATGTAATAATATCTGCAGGTAAATACTGTTTATGAGGTAGAAAAGTATTAATATAGCCTTGTTTTCATTGTGCAATATTTTGATTATTCAGGGTATATTTCAATTATCTGAAAATTTGTTAACGTTGATAGGCCTGTCATGATATCTATTTTGTTACGATATATAGAAACAAAATTTATAACGATATACAATATTATTGTCATTATGAGACCATTTTGACACTACAATAGCATCATAATGTAAGTGCACCCATCTAAAGAACACATCATATTCTATTCCTGATAATATTTCATTTAATTACTCATTTTAACAATTTAATAACTAGGCATTGGAATCAGAGTGTGAAAACGTATATCCCACACAAATAAATTATAATATAAATGTCAACAAAAATGTCCAAGGTGAAAAAGAGCTAGAAAAAAGTAACAGACCTATTTTCAGTCGTCAGGCACCCATATTAAAATATACTATAGTAATTTATACTCTAGTGTTTTTTTTTTTTTTTACCTATACTGACACTATCACCTCCAATAGACATAGAGAGGCTGCACCATGAGCTAAAATGTGGCTAGAATTGGTTTAATGTATGGGCGATACATATTGCATCACCAAAAATGATTGTGGACATGTCCATGTGTTGCGCGATAAGTCGAAATTATGATTATTGCGACAGGCCTAATTGTTGATTTATTGTAAATTGATACTATTTACATGCAAAGACAATCTGTCCTAAGGCAACTTAAATAGTCCACTTGAATGTTTAAACTCATTTACAAGTTTTTTTTAATAATTTAAAATCAAACTGGCAATGACAAGATTCTGGGGAGAAATTTGGGCACTGACTAGAGATAGTTAATAATATTGCTTTGGGTTTTCTTAGCATCTCTCAATTACCATGGTACACTAGGCAGAGAACATTTATGCAGAATAAAATGGCATGCAATTTACCTTTCTTCCTCCCCTCATCTTCATCGAGATCAAACTCTCTCTCCTCACCACCATCTGCCTCGATCTCTTTTGCTTCTACTTGTTGGCTTTCATCTCCTCCCTCTCCACCATCTTCTTCCAGCATGAAGGGCTTCTTCTTCTTTTTCTTCTTCTTGGTCATGGTGGGATCAAATATCATCTGGAAGGACAAAAAAGCAAGAGTTTAATGAGATGAGATTGAGAAGACCCCAGCAACAAAGGCCAGAAAAGCCTACTGACCAGTCGGTCAGAACTAATCTGACTAAGACTATATTAGATGATGTCAACCATGATGTAATTTTATTATTTTATAAAACAAGTTGAATAACATATACCTGGAGTGGCTGAACTCACTTCCCAATTTAAAGTAAAGTATCAGGATAAAGATGTTTAAAAGTGATAATCAGAAACCAACACTTCATTGACCAGGTATTGCATCATAATATTTATACAGTATTTCAAACATGTCAGGGTGCTGAAATGCAAATTCCATAATACTTTAGTTTTTTAAAGACTAATGTTTATTTAAGCATTGAACTAAAACATTCTTATATCATAGTATTTACATGATACTTTACAAATACTAGAGGCATTGTATGAATAGTCTAAAAACATGGTGCTTCCACAAACAATATTATCAATATTATCAACGACTACAAAATAAAACACAAATGTCAAAACCATAGTAAATAATCATTAATACAATCGCATTATGATAGCAGTCAAAAACAACTTAAGTAATACCATGGTACTCGAGTAAAAGAACCCTTGTATCACAACGTCCAGACATTATCGTAACTGTCGAAAAACGCGCTATCATGAATAAACTCCAATTACAGTACCATATTACGTTTTGTCAATAAACTCTCAAGATCATTTGAAATATGTACAACGTTTAATATGCAACTAGCCAGGCTACTGACAAAAAGATCTAGAAAAAACGAGTCGGCACATGTGTTTCCACACAGCCTAAACTAGTAGGCCCAATTGTCCTTCCTTTTTGACTGTGTAAGTTCATCTATTTTAACCTATGTTCTTCATAAACAGAGACAGTTCACTAACCTCGTCTCCAGACATGTTGTCGGCTTGTAGTGAAAACCCAAGAATAAAACGTCAACGTTATAATAGTGTAAATTTAACGGTCTACTCTTCCTCGATACGCGCGATGTCTGCGACAGGCCGGGCGGAGCTGAATGCGCATGGGCGTCAGATAGCGCTAAGCGCATTGCATGATGGTAGTTGTAGTTTTGGTTGGTAAAACTACGCAGGAGACTCCTATTTTGTCATAGCGTTTGTGTCTCAGGCGGAAAAAAATCCCACATTTAACAGACAGAAATGTTTTCACAGAGAAACTCGTGGCTTATTTTGTCTCTCTGGAGTATGGCAGAACTCCCGAGCCTTGTTTGATCAGATTTTGAAGCTCATAAACCAAAACAGTTTTATGGAGTTGGCATAAACAAACGAGTGTGCTGGGAGAATTACTTTTATGTGATACAATAAATCTTGGTAAATAATGCTCAACTTGGTTTCTAAACTGCATGGCCTGAGCAGGTGTAAACATGGCGTCTCTGAAGAGTTTAACGCTTGCATTCTTCAAATCTCCTCAACAATATCCTCAAAGCTTCTTCCAGAGGAGAACCAGACCTGCCTGCTTCATGCTCATAATGGCTTGCAAACCATTTTATTCCTCTAATCTGTTTAAAATTGCAGTGGGATTCCTGGCTCCCAGACAGCTAAAGCCTTTTCCTGCGTCCTCCATTCCTGTCTGCTTTTGACAACAGTGCTGAATCTTGCGTCATAGAGCACAACACATGCATGAGAACTTCTCGCTTTTTATATAAATACAGTCCCTGAGGTACAAGGTGAGTTGCCATTATTTTCTCAGCAAGAACTAACAACAATACAAAACATTACTTTCCTAAACACCTGTTTGTCTCTATATATGAACTGCATCTTTTGATCTACGATATCGTCCGCAATGAGAAACTGTTGGAAATAACATTAAAAGGTTTTGTTCTCTGAAACCCTCACAGAAGACAGTTCAGGATTTTCAATTGAGTTACATGCGATTACATCAGTAGGTTTTTCTCTTTCTTCTCCCAGCTGTGCTTTGTTTGTTTAATGACTCTGGACCACAAAGTATGTGTCTAAATTATCGATCTTTATTATCATTCAAATTTTATTTTTATCAGAATATTAAGTTCTTCTTCTATGAAAACATTTCAGAAATTTACTTTTGTTAATTTGTCAAAACATCATTTTTAATTAATAATATGTATATGATATTAATTGAATAAATGTTTTATTTTAAACTACAGATTCCAGATTTTTAAATAGTTTTATATCGGCTAAATGTTGTCTTATGCTAACAACCAATACATCAATTGAAAGCCATTTATTTCAGATGAAAAAAAATCACCTACATCTTGGATGACCTGTGAGTGAGTAAATGAACAGGAAATTTAAAGATCATACATATTATTTGTATTTATTAACATATTTCCCAAAATTTCTCAGGGTGACATATTTTGACTATTCTGATTACTGTACAGAAGAGACCCACTACAATGTCATTCAGAAATAATACCAAAAACAAATCTTGATTTATAACAAGAGAAATTTGTTGACATAAAAAAAATGTTGCAGCACTTTTCTGTATTAGTATTGTGATTATTATTTAATTGTCATTTTATTTATTACCTATTTGCACATATACATGGCAATATTTCAACAATGAGTTCATCGTGTGCAAAGAGAAACTGCTTTTGATCTAACATTTAGGTATTTTTGCTTAATCACTGAAACTATCTCTATGTTTAATTACATCTTATGTTTTTCTGTACCACTGAATATCACACGTATGTGTGTGTTTAAAAACGTAATAAAAATATATGATAAAGATATTGAAACTGGAAACTGGTTTGGATCTAATATTTAGGGGTTTTTGCTCACTGGATCACTTAAACTCTCTCTGATGAAAATGTTATAATTTTCAAAGTTTAAAAAAACTCCAAAATTCCAAAAAAAACTCTTTGCTGATAAATCTTACAACATTTAATGATTTATTAAATGATCAGTGCAGTCTCAAAATATGTTTTAATTATCTTTTTTAATCAGAAACATGTAATGGCATATATCACAATCAGAGGACAGACAGAATAATAATTACTTGTCCTATTTAATTACCCGTTTGCCTTTATGGACAGTTGCATTTGATCAATGAGCTCATGTTGTACATTGAGAAACTAGTTTGGCTCTGACATTTAGGGGTTTTTGCCCACTGGATCACTGAAACTCTCTCTGATGAAAATGTTAGAATTTTCAAAGTTATAAAACATAAATTTACAGCTTTATTTTACTGTTTATGTACATAACATTATATAAATTATATAAAATATGTACATAATAAAATGTTAAAGTTAGGTTCAGGGGTAAGTTTAGTGAGTTATTATCCAGTTTAATACCCAGTAAGTACATACAGAACTGTCAATAAAGAGCCACCAAAATATAATCACAAATATTCTTCAGATACATTCTCAAATCTCAAATTACACATTGATGCTAATGTTTTAAACTATTGGTGTAATAGTTTACATAAAAAATAATGAATATTATTTTAACCATAATTTCCAGAAGATACCCACTAAATTATTATTCAGTTAACCAGTACCAAAAACTCTTGATCTGATGATCAGTGCAGCCTCGAAATACTTTTAAATTATCTTTTTAAATCAGAAACATTTAATGACATATATCACAATCAGAGGGCAGAGAAGAATATTTACTTTATATTACTTTATATTGAATACTTTATACTTTATATTGAATTACCTGTTTGCCTTTATGGACTGTGGCATTTGATCAGTGAGCTCACCATGTGCATTGAGGCACTGGTTTGGATCTAATAATTAGGGGGTTTTGCTCACTAGATCACAGAAACTCTCTCTGATGAAACTTTTATAATTTTCAAAGTTATGAAACATAAATATACAGCTTTATTTTAAAGTTTATGTACATAACAAGTGCACTTAACTATATAAATTTTCTAAAATAACTTGATGTCTTAAGGTTAGGTTTAGGGGTAGTACAATAAGTACAAACAGAACTGTAAAATAAAGAGCACCAAAATATATCATAAATATAATTTTATATAATTTATATAAAACATATTTTATACAATTTATATAAATAAATTATATAAAATATGTACTTAATAAAATGTTAAGGTTAGGTTCAGGGGTAACTTTAGTGAGTTATTACCCAGTTTAATACCCAGTAATATTATAAGTACATGCAGAACTGTCAATAAAGAGCTACCAAAATATATGACAAATATACTTTGGATACATGACTGATAGATCGACTTTCATTTTGATTATTGTTTTGCTTTCATGTTTATGTGTTAAGTTTGTCAGTTTTCTAGCATTATAAATGTTTTTGTTATTATTATTTTTGAATTTCAACTTTTAATTTACTAGAACTTCTATATTAAGCTGCTTTGACACAATCTACATTGCAAAAGCGCCACAGAAATAAACAAACATGAATCATTTAGATTATTTACCAAACCCTGAAAATCCTGAAAAGTTAATGTATTTGAAGTTTTGAGCTTTAAACTTTGTGTCCCCAGAGAAAGTGTCTCATCTTTGGTTTCTCCTATATGTAATTTTAGATAAGTTCTATAAAATTACATCTCAAATTACACATTGATGATAATATATCAAACTATATGTGTAATAGTTTTAATATAAAATTATTATTATTATTATTATTATAAAATTAGTATTATTTTAACCATCATTTCACAAAGATACCCACTAAAATGTAATTTAGTATAACAATAAACCAGTGTACCAAAGACTCTTTGCATGCATAACAACATTTAATGAATTATTAAACAATCTTTAGGGCCTCTAAATACTTTTTAATTATCTTTTTAAATCAGAAGTATATATCGTATTTAATTACCTGTTTCCCTCTATGGCTTTTGATCAAGGAGCTCATCATGTGCATTGAGAAACTGGTTTGGATCTAACGTTCAGGGTTTTTTGTTCACTGAAACTCTCTCTGATGAAAGGTTATAATTTTATACATAACTTTTTATAAATTGTATAAAATATGTACATAATAAAATGTTAAGGTTAGGTTCAGGGGTAAGTTTAGTGAGTTATTACCCAGTTTAATACCCAGTAAGTACATACAGAACTGTCAATAAAGAGCCACCAAAATATATCACAAATATACTTCAGATACATTCTCAAATCTCAAATTACACATTGATGCTAATGTTTTAAACTATTTGTGTAATAGTGTTTATATAAAAAATAATGACTATTATTTTAACCGTGATTTACCATATCCACTAAGTTATCATTCAGTAACAGTAGTTTATGTACTAAAAATTATTTTCAGGCGTATCCAGATTCCAGAACAAGATACATTTAAGGATATATATTATCATAAGATCATATACAGCCTCAAAATACTTTGTCCCATTCCTTAAAACCTCTACAACAACAAGATTTAATTAAATATAATACAATTTTGCACAATGACATATTATTTTATTTATATTATAATAGATACAGCTCAGAATAATTTTTTGATTTTTTACGTAAATGCAACAGTTACCCTGTGAAAGACAATTTCACCCATATTGTGTCATGTTAAAAAATAAAGCAGACTAATTACTCATAGATGTAATTTGAATAAAAATCTCTTCTCTAAATTTGATTTAATGAGGAGAGTAAAAAGGCTTCGTCTTTGACCGATAGATCAGCTTTCATAGTAATGTATTGTTTTGTTTTCATGTTTATGTGTTATTTAAGTTTGTCAGTATTATCTAGCATTATAAATGTTTTTGTTATGATTATTTTTAAACTTCAACTCTAAAAACTGGACTGACAGTTTTTAATTTACTAGAACTTCTATATTAAGCTGCTTTGACACAAACTACATTGTAAAAGCGCTACAGAAATAAACAAACATGAATCATTTAGATTATTTACCAAACCCTGAAAATACTATAAGTAACTGTATTTGAAGTTTTGAGCTTTAAACTTTGTGTCCCCAGAGAAAGTGTCTCATCTATCTTTGGTTTCTCCTATATGTTATGTATCATATATGCGACTAGACTAGGC